CACAACATGATCTACTCGACCACCATTATGGTTACCGCCAATAAAAAACCGGAGGAAAAAAAAATTAAAAACGGCACCCTGGTTGCCGAGTTCACGAAGTGAGTTGGCTTGTTTTACAACGTCGTTGCCAAGCGACGAAAACCCAACCCCGGTGGCAAACACCGGGGGGGGGGCGAGTCCAAAGATGGGAGAAAAACAAATAAAAACGTTGATGATACCATGACCGACGTGCACTCCCCGCTTGTCGCCCTGCTTTTGCCCCGCCTGTCGACCAATCAAATCAAAACCAACAAACCCAGGTCATGTACGAGAACGCCCGGTACGCTTTCACCGAGACCTGCCTAGCCCTGACTGTTTTCAGGGGCGACCTCACGGCCGTCACCATCGCGCTGTTCGTCGAGCTGCTCTTGATCAAGGCCTTCCACTGGCTCTCGCGGGTAAGTCAGTCGGCTGCGGTGATTTGGCGCACGTCCCTTTGGACATTGTGTATTCATGCGTTTGACGGCTGCTGCTACACAAGAGCTCGCTGTGAAGGTTAAGGCGGGCTTGGAGGTTTGAAGATATCCCGTGTGCTTTCTTTGGACACTTTTTTTTCCCAACACGTTGGGGGTATAAGTTCAACCATATGGCCTTGTGTAAATCCCAGGGGGGCACTTTGTCACGCACGGGAAGACGGTGGCCTGTTACCCACGAGTTGGTTTGCGCCTGTGGTTACGACCGTGTGGTTTTTAGTTCCATCCGGTTGGAACATTTGTAGCGATTACCTTACGACGGAGAAGACAGCCGGGTAGGTTAAACCTGGTTACGACGGTACGTCGAAGAATATTTATCACACATGGAAGTCCACGTGGTATGTAGTCGTCCATATACCCTTTGACCGCGGGCTCCTTCCTAATTTATTCATACGCCTTGGCCTAGCCCTTTCCCCGGCCGTATTCATCCCCTACCTTGTAGCGACAACCGTGCAGGGCGTATACGGATTTCTTGAAGAAGACCCCAATGCTCCCGCGCGCGTAGATAGTGACAGAGCTGCATGTCGGAGCTTCGTTATCAGCAACGATGAGTGGTCAATGGCCATTGAGTCATCCCTCCCGCGCGTCCACTTTTTTCGGACACTTTTCGCAGTGCAGGAAGGAACGCCATCAATAGTCGATCCTGTGGGACCGATTCTCCGTCCTCTCGAGGACGCGTGGTCAATAAGCTATGGCATGCGAACCATGAGTACGGCCCCGATTCACTTCCGTTCCGTGTGCCTCCTCGAAACCTCCTTCCTCTTAGGCGCGTGTGGAGCACTTCGAGCAAGCGGGGCAGCAGAGCCTGACCTCTATGGCACGCCTCTGCAGCCTGGTGTTCATCACCCTGGTCGTGGACGGGCTAATGGTGACGTACTGCCTCGAGAACATCCCCGTGGACGAAGCCAGCTCCCTCGTCCTGTTCGCGTTTGGTGAGTTGTTGCTCCCCTTTATTGCGTGTGCATGTACAAGCTTGTTTCTCGGCCTTTTCCTTTCCCCCCTCCTCTTGTCCTTGTTTTCGTTATGTGTTGCTGCGTCGTGTTGATGTGGGGTGGCTGTAGAGCGAGCCAACGCAACATGGTAAATACTCGCGTTGAGGCCGATAATTGCCCGTACAAATATTTTCTTTTTGCACCTCGAAAGATCGCGGCCTCTCTCGTTCTCGTTCACGTTGTGTTATGAAACAGAGCCGAGCCACACACAATTGCTTGCGGCATGTCCTTTGGTCCTCCCTTACCCGTCCGTTGAAGAAGAGTGGCACACAAAATGCTGGCGCCATGCTGCTATGTACCACTGCCACCGCCTCTGCCACTGCTTCCATGGCCGGTGTTGCTTGGCCGTCTCATGCTCGCCGTTGCTTTGTCCCCGTGGTCCTTTTTCCTTTTGTCGTCCCGTTGTTGCTTCAGAGTACGCCATCCTGTCTATCGCAGCCTTCTCCACCGCTGTGCGCCTGCTCCTGCACGTCGTGGACAACCGGATGGAGGGGGCCTGGCACGCGAAGGCAACCTGGGTGATGCTACTAGAGTTTTTCTCTGAGGTGTGTGTGTGTGTACGTGGTAAAAGTGTTGTGGAAATGTTCAGGCATTCTCCATAGTCAAATGCGCAGTAGCTACGCGTGGATTGTGGTTGGCGTCCTCGTTACGCCTGCCTCCTTTGCTCTGAGCTCGGCGCAGCAAGCACATCGGACGGCGTTGGCGAGGATTGTCGTGAAATCGAGACGAGGGGTTCGTGACCCTGTCCCTGACCCCCTTCCTAACCCCGCAACTCCTGCTTAACACACAAGCTTAACATCCTCAAGCGTTATATGTGAAATTGAGAAGGGGGATTCGTAACCCTGGCCCTTACCCTTACCCCCAACCCCGTAGCCCCTACTGAATCCAAGCTTGATATCCTTGCAAAGGCTACTGACATCATCCGGGAGGAGGAGGCTGCCGCCCAGAACCGATGGCGTGAAGTCCCTTCTGTGCAACATGCCGGAGACCACGATGAACATGTCTTTGAGTTTTTAACAACCCCTGCCCGCCGCCCCGCCGGCGTACTTTTCATGCCTCCTCTGCAACCAAACGCCACCAGGTGTTCAAGTTTTCCTTCTATGTGATATTCTTCGGTGTGATGTTCTCCCTGTACGGGGTGCCCCCTCTTAACCTCATCCGTGACGTGTACATGTCCTTCGACCAGCTTCAGCGGCGCCTTCAGGCCTTCTACAGGTCAGGCACGTTTGTTTCCACCCAAGGAAGGGGGGGTTGCGTATCAGGGTTGGTGATTTCCCGTAAGGGTAAATGGTTTCCCATCAGGGGTAAGAGTTTCCCATCAGGGGCAAGAGTTTCCCATCATGGTGGAAGAGATTTCCCACCAGGGTTCAGACTTTCCTATCAAAGTTGAGAGTTTCCCATCGTGGTGAAGAGATTTCCCACCAGGGTTAAGACTTTCCTATCAAAGTTGAGAGTTTCCCATCGTGGTGAAGATATTCCCCACCAGGGTTAGGAGTCTCCCATCAGAGTTCGAGTTTCCCATCATGGTGAAGTGGTTTCCGATCCGGATTGGTGTTTGGACCGCGCTGGAATTTGAACGCTGGTGGCGATGTTTTTCGGAGTGGGGTAGGAGATGGTAGAGGTTATGCATACGAGTCCATTGTCTGGCTAGGGTTTGCGTTGAGGGTCATGCCTGGATTAGGGATGGCGATATTGAGCAGTGTAAGTGTGAGCTTTCCCAGCGTCATGCTGCTTCATTCTCAAACTAGCTGGCCGATGCTTGAGAGAACTTGGATGTGTGAAGTGTAACTTTCTGCATCAAGAACCAAAACCAACAACAGTTAAGTGTTTGGTTGTTTGAATTTACCGCCATTCTCTCGCTCTCTCTCTCTCTCTCTCTCTCTCTCTCTCTCTCTCTCTCGCTAGTAATCCGCTGTGGCTGGTCGTGCCCTCGACAACTTGGTCCCACTGGTTGTCCTGTGGTTTTCTCGCCTCTTGTTTTCTTTTCCCTTTTGAGCAGATATCGGCAGCTGGCCAACACGATGGACGAGCGTTTCCCGAATGCGACCGAGGAAGAGTTGGCGGAGTGCGAGCACACGTGTATCATCTGCCGGGACTCCATGGACGCCGGGAAAAAGTTGCCTTGCGGGCACATCTTCCACTTTCAGTGAGGACCAAACCTTTCCTGTGTGTCGTGAGATGATGGAGCTTTTTGGGGTAGCAATAACGATGCGCTCGGATTGCTGGACGTCGCAATGAGCATGGATGTCATCGCATGCCCTCCTGACCAGTGAATTTGTCGGAATGTATGCACGCCCCCGCCGATAGCCGTTCGTGGCAAGATGTTGTAACCAGCGCTTTGATTAAATTCACGACAATGTGCGTCCCGCGAGAGCAGAAGCATTTTATCACCAGAACCACCACCGCGAGCAGCAGTAGCAGCAGTAGCAAAATATCCACCTCCTAGGGGTTCTTTGAGAGACCGGCGTGTGACGAAGCCACCAGCAACAACCTCAATAACAACACCCTTCCCCTTCCTGCAGGTGCCTCCGCATGTGGCTCCAGCAGCAGCAGGCGTGCCCCACCTGCAGGGCCAACATTCCCACCCACGGCACCGCCGCCACCGCCGCCGCCGCCACAGAACGCGCCGCCGCCGCTGCCCAGCAAGGTGCAGCCGCCGCCGGCGTAGCCGGCGTGGCAGCACCAGGCGCAGGCGCAGGCGCAGCAGCACCCGCCGCCCCCGCCGCCGCCGCCGCCGCTGCCGCCGCAGCAGCAGCAGCAGCAGCAGTGCCAGTGGGAGCGGTAGCGGCGCCAGGCGTGGAGCAAGGGGGTGCGCAGGCCCCAAGAGCGGCGGCGCTAGGGGCCACGGTGGGCGGTGGTGACGGGGGCAGGGGTGCCCTGTTCGAGATGCCGCGAGTGGCGGACGGAGTAGGGGCGGCGTCGGGCGGGAGCGGCGGTGATGGCGGTGTTCAGGCCGGGTTTGGAGCGTTCGGGGGAGGCGGGGACGTAGCAGCGCCAGCCCCGGGGCTTGCGGGGCTTGTTGGAGGAGGCGCGGGCGAGGGCGGGGAAGGAGGGGGCGCGCGGGAGGTGCTTAAGGCGGTTTTCGTGGTAAGGGGAATAAGACGCAAGATACTGCTATGTACATTTTTGTTGTTTCGTTTGAGCTTTGCGCGTGTTGTGCTCTTGTACAGTGTATCTGCGCCGGGCATGCTGTTAATAACTAGTTTTGAACGCGCTGTTAAGTTCCGGCTCTGTTGGGCCGTTTGGCCATTGCGTGCGTCGCGCTTTCGTATCGTCTATCGGATGCCCGGCGTTTGTGCTGCCTTGCCTCCCGCTGGACGCATTTACAGTCTGCCTCCTGTGATGCTGAAATGTTTTTCGTTGTCCACAGCCTCTTTAGTGTATGGCAGAGAGCTGTGCGGCCATGCACTAGGTAGGAACCGGTGGGAACAGACATTTGGTGTTTATTCGGATTAAATGTGTCTGTAGGAGTTTCCTGAACGACCAATGCGGTAGCCTGATGCAGCGACCCTTCCCCTGCCCCGCCCATGCATGTTCACAGCAGTGCAATACCCAGCGGACACGACAAATAATGGTGGAAATAAACATGGCACAGATATACTCCTCGTGTTCGGGGAAAAGGCCTGATGGCGAATGACACCAAGCAGGACAAAGATTGTTACAAGCAACCCCCCGCCCTGAATCTTCCCCCATGTGCAATTTTTGGCACCCTCAAATGACTGAATTCACCTCCAGGTTTCTCCCACGGGAGCGAGGGTTCGCCAGGGCCTCAAGCAGGGCACAGCCACCGTGCGCACGGAACCAGCGAAGTCGGTGCTTCTCCTCCTGGCACCCCCGTGTTCATGCGGGAGCCTCTTGGTGAACGGGGGCTGGGTCGGTGGTCCGGGCAGCGAGGGTGAAGTACGGCTGGTGAGAGAAAGACGAGGACGGAGGAGGAAAATGCAACAGCCTCGATGTCCGTAGTGCGGGGGGGGGAGGGGTGACGGGGCGGACGAGTGGCCTAGTTCGCACTCCTGCTGGGGGTGTGGTTTGATTGAACCTTATGATTTCGTCGAGTGGTTTCTGCCGCTCTTGTGGTCGACATCTGAGTGCTCCCTTGTTGGGTGCCTGCGGCCAATGATGCGTGGCTTGTGCCGCGTATAGGGGAAATGTTCTTGCGCAGACGCCTCCTGGGGATGGGAAATACTCGGTTGTTGGTTTGTCGCTGTCATAATTCGCCATGCGTACACCGGGAGCGCACGCAACAATCCTTGCTTCCCGACACAAACGAAGCGATGTGGTGGGTGTTCCGGCCCGGGGAGTTATTTCTCCCATCTCAACACGTCATCAGCGATCTAACATTTGCCGTCGCGCACAAGCACTAGCGCTGCGCACGGACATGCACGAAACGGCTGTGCACGGCATTCCGAACCCCCTCCGAAAGCGATACCGACAGGGGAGAAGAGATCTGGAACACATTCCTGAACCTTTTTTGGCAAGTAAAGGACGGAACCATGAGTGCCCCCCCCTCCCCTTCCCGGCTTCACACAACGTTAGGTCGAGATCGGTCAGTCGGCGCTAGGTGGGAGCGGAGGTGTTACTCCGACGCCCGTGGACGAGATGTTGGATGGCCCAGAGGCGGTCGGGGGCGGCAGGGAGGACGGCTTGAGACGACGGCACAGGGGTGTCTTGGCCGGAGCGGATAGTTGAAGGATGGAGGGGTGGCTCCACTCTCTGCCTGCGTGAGAGGTCCTGCTGGGCAGGGGCGATCAGGACCCCTTTGGACGAGGACCGTTTTTTTCGGCAGAGACTCTGGTTCCCGTGGCTCCAATTTGCACCCCGCACCCCCCCCCCCCCCCCCCCCCCCCCCCCCCCCCCCCCCCCCCCCCCCCCCCCCCCCCCCCCCCCCCCCCCCNAACATGTTTTGTAGAGGTTTGTTTTCTTCCGGGCGTTGCTGAGGTTCTTCTTCGTGCCCGTCTCCGTCCCCACGATCGCAAGTGGTGCGTGCGCAGACAGATGCCGTTCGTGGACGTACATGTTTCCGCGAGGCTGCTGTCGAGGGGTTTCTTGACTTCCGGGCTTTCGGAGGAGTGCCGTGGGTTGGGGGGCGCACTAGGTTGAGGGGGTACCGTGCTTTGGGGGGTGCTGTAGCGCGGTCGTGCGTGGGAGGTAGCGCTAGCGGAAGCAACAGCGATGAGACCCACCGTCGATGCGCTTGATTGAGTCGGATCTTTAGGCCGATCCAAGCTGTTTTCTGTGGGTAGTAGAGTTTAAACCTGGAACAAGCATGGGGTTCTCTCTTTCGAGGAAGGGGTGCCGTGGATGCAATCGCCCAAGGCTTATGTTTGGGACGTGTGGGAAAATAATGCGGAGTTCGTACATTTGAAAGCTAGGATTTTCCTGTGGACGAAGGAGTCGACGTGTGGTGTTATGATATGTCATATGTGGCCCCTACTGCTGCCTTCATGCTACTTGTTTTTGTTTTGAGTCGGGCTTCTTTGGGAGACAGTTTGAGGGGCTTTCAGCGTTCAACTGCTGCATGTTATACATAGCCTGGAGGGTAAAGCCAATACTTGCTTGTTGATACAAAGGTCATTTGCGAAGCTCCAAGCAACGAGAGAGCCACATCCTACTTGGCAAAACAAACCGCTCGCATCTCGCTCACCCCCCGAATCCTCCCAACGAGCCAATGATTTCTGTATGGTGGTCGGCGATCGATACTGTACAACACGGGCGAGGCCATATCTAGCCCTCATTGCCGATAGTTACACAAACCGCAACTGCACGCAACATCCCACACGTTACTGCTAGCCACGCAAGGAGAAACGCAATCCTCTTCTTCCCTTGGACATACATTGCACACACCGAACAAACGTTCATTATGTCATGAATCCGCCCGCTTCCTTCCGCATTTTGCGCGGCGGCATGAGGAGCGTGCACCGAACAATACAAAGAGGACATCTGCAAAATCCGCACCAACGGGTGCACGTACACAACAATTCTGTACACGCCCATCGACTATAGGGGACACCCTTTTAGCAACGGGGTAGGGTGTTATCAACGTTCTTGCATGACAATGTTTTGCTCTAACTCGCAGCGGGTTGTGGCGACGGCGGCCGCATTGAACGAACCAGCGCTGGGGAGCAGTGCCCTTCCGCCCGAAATATGGGGCCGCCCCCCAGGCAAATGCCTTCCTTGTACAGGGCCACTACCTGGCCCGGCGCGATCGCTTTCGCCGGCTCGTCGAAGCGCACGTGCACGACGGGGCGAGGCACCGACGCCCCGCTCCCACCGCCGCCAAGCAGCTCAACGCCACAAGGGAGGAGGGCTTGCCTGTGGCGACTCCGGTACTCACACCGCAAGACAGGAGGCGGCCCCTCCATTTCGCCCGCGTCTGTCGGTTCTTCTCCTGATGCTGTCGGTTGCCGTTCTTTGGCCTGTGCCGGTGCCTCAATTCCCGCCGGCCCGCTACCTACCGTAGTTGCTTTTCGTCTCGCGTGTGCCGAGGGAAGGCTTCCGCTGCCCGACAATAGCTCCGGGGGAGGGCAGCCCGCCACCCAGCTAAACTCCGACGCTAGCACAGACAAGCCCCGGGCGAAGAGGGAAGGGTTATCTGCCCCCCTCGCCACGTAGACGGAGTTGGTTTCGGAGTGTAGCCCGGCCACGTAGTACTTCTCGGGCATGCCGTCCAAGTGCGATTTTTGCCCTGCGATGGATTTTCAATTTTGACGGTATTGTATCGTCGAGCGCGCGCGCGGGGGGGGGAGGGGTCGGGGTGTACTCATAGTCGTGCATGCCGTAGTCGTTAGACCATTGACCTCG